AGTCAAAGCAAGGCTTTGGGCATGTTTTTTATGAGAGTATAACATTATAACATGATATAAAACTCAAAAAAGTTGATTTTACATGATATTGCCCCTTTAAGAGTTTTGAATGAAAAAAAAATCATTTAAAAAAACAGGAAATGGGAGCTTTTAGCAAGAGGTGAATTAAGTGTATAAAACAGAAAAGTGATGGCAGATTGATAATAAATGAGGCTAAATGGTGTTTCCCACAAGTTTAATGATTAAACCAGAACCAAAATCAAAGTAATATGAGTAACAGAAAATTATAAAACAAAAAAAATAAAATAAAATTGCCTTTTTTGTACTGACTTTTAAAATGAATTAAAATTTCTTTACAGATCTAAAATAACTTCAATCTGATCTTTATTTGCATGTGTCAGGTTGGGCTGAAATTTCTCCCACTTTCTTTTTTTATAAATCTTGACTTTCAGACTCATCTGCTGTTGAAACTTGGTCAGATCTAGCAATTCTGTTTTTGTCCTTCACTTGTCTACTTCTGTTCTTAGGTCCTCACTTTACAATCTGTGTGTTATCTTTGACAGGTACAAGGACTTGGCAAAAAAAAAGTTACAAAAAAATCCAAAACTCCAAAAAGAAACTCTGAAAGACCTTCAGAAACTTTGGAGAACCATTCATTATGATCACTTAAGAATAAAACCAAGTCTGACTTTATGGAAGCAAAACAAACAATAAAGTAGTAATGGTTTAAAACATTTGCAAAGTACTGGACATACATTTAAATACTAACTTGCCTACTAGAGTTTAACTGTAAATTATGTCAGCGCTTTAAAAAATACAAAACAAATGGGGCAACCTACAGTATATATGAAAAAGTTTAATACCAGTTAATCAGTGAGTCTCTGCTCTACCTGCAGTCTGAAATGTGATGATAAACCACTGCTTTGAATAGGATTTGAATAGCTCAGTTAGAAATGAACAAGTGGGGCCTAGTTGTTTCTTTGCATCTTCCAGCAGGAAAGAAAAGGCTTTGTTTCACGCCATGAAACAGTGACCTGTCTGCTGCTGATGATCAGATCTACTGCAGGAGAGCTGCAGATGCCTTTATCAAAGTGGTGAAAGAAAAGACTATAGTCACCAACAAATACATGTTCAATTCATCCATCAAGATAAATGCAAGAAAAACTTCAGGTGCTGATTAAATTAATTTACATTATTTCATTGTTAAAAACGTGCATAAAATGTAATTTGTTGAAGAGACAGAAAATAATTTTGTCCGTTCGTCTGTGGTTTATTTACATTGCAGCATCTATAATTGAACAACTAAAAAATATTTACTTCTTTTCAAATAAAAAATACAAATAAATGTACACAGTGCATTCAAGGTTCAACTAAATGTTATACTGTTATGCTACAAATGTTAGAGCCTAAAACGTTTTTCCTAAAATTGAGTTTCTCAGAACAACCTACAGGTTCAGGTTTAATATATTCAACTTGCACTTGCTTGTTTCACCTACAAAAATGAGGTTTGTATAGTATGTTTTAATTTATTATTTATAACAAAAACAACAGTTTTGGTGGGTTTACAAAGTCCTCACAGATTCCAAAACATTTAGTTAGCTTAACTTTTTTGGCCCCAACCTGTGTCCAAAGACGGCCCTGCAATAGTGTCAAGACTTAAATTTCCTTCTTTCCTTTTAAAATACTACCAGTTCACTTTGATGTACTGCATCTTCGCTTTCATGTGTTAACTTAGAGAACACATATTACATTAAAGAATAGGATTGGGAGGCAAAATATTTTTACAGTTTTCTAGGACAAACAATGTCCCCATCAATGCATCCAGTAAAACCTCTGACTGTATTTAAAGGGAGCTGATACTACCCACCCATATTAAACTATGAACAAAGCCCTATTTTTTCATTTGTTTTTTTTTTTTTACTTGGGTGGATTCAGTCTGCAGTGTAAATCTAGAAAATAATTGTATGAATACACGGTATTTTCTAAAAAAAAAAAGAAAAAGAAAAAAAGGGAAAAATCCTAAAGAGTTGGGTTTCATTCTGACATCTTAGTTCTCAAAAATAAAAAAAAAACTATCTAGGCCCATATGTTAATATTGATATAAACTGTTCTTTTTACAGAACAAAATACAACTTAAACGGTTTCTTAAAATAACTGGGTGCAAAAGTTTGAATTTATTGTAGATTTTTCAATCCACAATTACTAAAACATTTACATCAAATTTCAAACAAATACACAAACTCCAAGTAAAATTTGGTTAAATATTTCTTAGCAAGTTGCAGCACATTTTCTTATACAATTCATCCGGCATTTAGCATTATCCTGGCTGCATATTTGACTATTTTTGGTAGAATCAATGGATTTTTTTAAAGTAGTTTCCTGGCACAGATCTGGCTTAAGTCTCCAAATTTTCGAGTTTAAGTTTGAGATCATGGCTTTGGGAGATCATTCTTAATGTTAGCTCAACCCCAAACCAATTTTGATGCATTGTGCAAATGTGTTCATGGGTCTAGATGCTGATTTGAGATGGGTGAAAAATTTGGAGGTCCTTTTTCTATGCTGTTCCATCCATTTTATGCAGTTCACCAAAACCATAGCATGATGCAACTACTACCAAGCTTACCAGCTGGTACAATGTTGTGATACAGTGTCATCTGGCCATAAAACATGTCACTAGGTGTTTGTGGGTAGCTGCMTACTCTCTTGGTTATCACCCACTCAGTCCACGGTGATGTAAAATCTTACTGTTGACCATGACACTGGTGTTCCAGCACTTTCCAGTWTTTGACAGGCTTGAAYCTTGATTGTTCCTGGATTGTTCTCAAACTTCCTAACAAACTTTATCTCCTTCTTAGATCTTCTGAGTTCCTTGTACTTGTGTTTTGTTTTAAGTATTAAAGTGAGCGCTGTCTCCGGGTCAGGGGGGTCGTCCTGCCTCAAGTGGAGGAGTTTAAGTATCTGGGGATCTTGTTCACGAATGGGGGAAGAACGGAGCGGGAGATCGACAGGCGGATTGGCGCAGCGTCTGCTGTAAAGCGGGTGCTGTACGGGTCTGTCGTGGTGAAGAAAGAGCTGAGTCAGAAAGCGAAGCTCTCGATTTACCGGTCGATCTACGTTCCTACCCTCATCTATGGTCATGAGC